TACTTTCAAGGGCTGGACTTGATAGAAGCTCTAATTGGCTATGCCCCAGAACATTTTGCAATATGAGGGTAAGTCGGATACTCCAAGACTGACACTTCAGATGCTATAAACTAACAATGTTGGACAGGGATGATCAAAGGCATAGGTTCATTACCCGGATTTTCCGCTGAATACATTCCCTTTCGCGCCCAGCACCAGATCTTGCAGGTCATGCAACAACAACTTGAAGTTTGTGCTTTCTGCTTCATTCAGAAATGGCTGTTAGCAGAATCGCTTGCGGTCGGATGGACATGCCCGCAAGCCTTGGAGTTACACAAAGTCTTCCGTTTTTTACAAGCTCATCGAGAAAAAGTCAAGGACGAATTTTATCAGTCAACTCTAAGTGCGTTGATCGGATGGCGTGGCGTGATCACTAGTATCCGCCACGCGGCTGTTCATCGCATTTCACAGCATCGAAAATCACTACTGGAGCTAATTCGCGTTGCCATCAACTTTTCGCAATGCACTGTTGGCCTGGAAGACTCTAAAAGTCTTTGTCGACTTCAAGTGTTCGTGAAGACCGGACTTTCGGAGTTCGACCAGCGGACAGCTCAGCTAAGGCAGAAAGCCACCCTCCAAATCTCTCTGTGTGAAGCCCGCCCACATCATCTGGGTCGACGGTTGGCCTTGCTTCCAGAAGCTGTGATCCAAGTCCTCCAAGGTGTTGAAGATGACTTCGTCTTTAACGTGGAACAGTTTTTACGCGCCGAATTCAAAAACTCTTAGGGGTCGGTAAATTCCTACGGAGACAATCGCATGGACAACTGCACGTATCTCTGCTGTGGTTGATGAGGTAAGATATCAAGTAAATTCTCGATGCCCTGAAGATTCTCTTGGTCTTATCTCAGAAACTTCGTCTTTGAATTTCTTACTTCCAACTGGATATGTATCTATATAGATGCTACAGGTACACAAAATATCTCAACATTTAAAGCCATTGGAGTGACGACTGCCTAGCAGAAGAGTCCTTCCACTGCCGCTTCCATTCCCGTTCTGCGTTTGTTTCCTCGGCCTGTGATTTGTCAAGAGCCACTCTCAAGGAAACGATAGCTCGAATCAATCGTGGATCCCTTGAAGGACTATTTGCAGGGTTGAAATGGTACTGCAGAGCCAGACTCTGTGTTGCGTCCATTGTGGTGCTGACAAGTTTGTGGAAGCTCTCAAAACACTTGCAATAAAAATCATTCTCAAGCCCTTGTTGCCTATGCTGCTGCAGTCGTTCGGCCTTCAACTCTGCAATCGACATCTCGAGTTGTGTTTTGGATTTTCTCAGTCGCGGGCGGGTGGTTTCCAAGGCCATGGTAGATCCGCAAGCCATCGAGATTTGGTGGTCTAGCAGATTGATCTCAGGGAGAGATGGCTTGATTTGTATGGTAGTTGGTATACAAGTCATAGGCACATCTTTAGCCGTGTCGGTGGATCGACTATAGATACTGGAAGTATTGTCACTAGGGTGACGGGGACTTTGCTTTCGAAAAAGGTTCATACTGAATATGCCTCAATGAAACTGAAGTTGGGCTCGGGGCAGGTCTATAAGAAGGCAAATTCAGTCCATGCGCAACGGCAGTAGTTGTGCTGAACAGTTTGTGAACGGCTTTCATCACATTATCACCACCGTTGACGGTCGATTCCTGAGTCGAAGATTAGCACCAGCACACTGCCAAGCTAGTTTGCTCATGATTGACCCAATTTTCGGGGTCATCCTTACCGCAATCCCAACAGACTCTAGATTGGAGACGGCGCATATTCTTTGTTGTCGAATGACTTCCCACAGTCTGGTATTCTTTGACGCCCTTAATCGCGCTTTCCAACACTTATAAACGGTTGTAATCATGCGTAGGTAAAAACCAGTGAGTGAGGTGATGAAGTCTTGTTCGAATGCAGACTACCTATTTAATTATTCCTGTTGTTCAAAACCAGAGCAGACCTATTCTCCACCCGTCTTGCATTTCATCGGATACCCCGCCGAGACATAAATTTTTGTTTACATTGATTATCTAACCCCGTCCGGAACTACAGCTACACCCAGCTCATAACCGTCGTCTTTTCTGCGTCAAAGTGGGTTCTAGAAAGTGGACGAGTCGCTTCGATCCACGATGGCAGTAACAAGATCTCCGCCGTGGCCATTCCAAAGTTTGATGATCTGTGCGACCGAACTGAGCGTAGGCCTTTTGCTCGTCGAGAAATTCTTGCGTCGACTTAGGGAAACCACCAATTCTTTCGCGAAAGGTATCGTTGGCAATTTCGATAGAGACCCTCTCTTCAAGGCTGGCGACGCGAAAAGTAATGCGCTTTCTGAAGTATCCACAAAATTGACACATGTCAACTGGGTCTATGCTTCCTAAATTATGGTCCGGACTGGACTGAAACCTTGCGCCGGGGAACTCGACAAGAATACGCTGCACGATCTCGGCAGGATGTGGACGCGAACAGAGAATAGATCCTCGACATTGAAAGGACGCATTGTGCGGAGTAGGCGTCTCGTCTAACTCGAAGAAAAACAAGGCCGAAGCGAGAATCGTTCTGACAAGCCCATCTGGTATTACAAAATCCATGGTCGACATCGATTCCAACGAGCGCACATCGTCTAATGCAGGGAGTGTTCCGTTGATTGCCTGATCTAGTCGGAAAATGTTGGGGGCCAACGGATGCGGGACATAATTCAGGGCTTCCAAGAAGCCTTGCTTGCCGTCCATGGATGGGGACGACATCATGGCCCGAAACAATCGAGGAAGAGCACCTTCCCAGATTCGACTCAGAAACTCCCGTTGCATCACCAGAGGGAGGTGTGGAGAAGCCTGTTCCGACAGAAAGGACAAGGTCGGGTCGATTTGCCATGGGCCAGATGATGCCCGACTCTCGCAGCGCAATGGCGAGCGGATTGTTCGCACGAACCCCCCCATCTTGCAAGAGCCCCAGGCCCGGCAAAGTCTTGGTCTGGAAATAACTGGACAGTGTCAGCGAGCTTCCATATACGTCAGTAATGTACTCACAAGGGTGCCGCAACGCTACATATTGCACTGCCAGAAAAAGCGTTAGCAACAGGGCCGGTTCAGGCTGGGAAAATACCGAGTGGACCTACGCGTCCCGTACAAGAGGATTCTCGCGGTCGTCACGTGGCGCCAAGAACTGATAGGCGGTATCAATAGTGCGCGGGCCGATTCCTCGATAATTGGCCAATACGCAGGCTTTGCCATCGGAGGTGCGACTTGCTACAACAGCGACCCGGCAACCTGCAGGGCTGGCCGTGGCAACATCGAACATGCGACGAGACGGGCCAACTGCCGTGTTGATGATTTCTGACAGCCCATCGGAATCATACAAACTATGTGTGGTCAAGTTGAACGCCGAGGCAAGCCACCGGATACCACGGGGAATCGGGAATTTCGATGAACGACGAAAAATGTTTCGCGCCAGGTCCGGGAATGCGTGGAAACACTGCGTAACCGAGGATTGATTGAGAAAAAGATCAATCGCTGACAATGCTCCTACAGAGGCTGGTCAGTCTATCCAAACACATGATGAACGATGCCATTAGTTGTACGTACCCACACTCGTTCCCATACACAGATCTGGCAGAGACGTGATTGAAACCCCAATGCGCTTCTCTAACGCCTGTAATAGCCCTAATTGAATAAGGCCGCGTACACCTCCGCCATCGAGACTGAGAATCACCGGGTGCTTCGTCGGAGGTAGCTGGCGTATCGTGACATGGGACCTTTCATCGCAGATGGGGCATTGTGCAATCTCGAAGTGATACTCTCCAAGCACACTTGGATGCCCGAAAATCACGACACACGTGTCACACAGTGTATGTTTGCAAGGGAGCATGTGCTCTGGAGGGCGGCATAGACAGACAAAACAAGTCGTGGTAGAGCGGAGTCCGCCCCATTGGCGGTATATACGGTGCAAGGTCTCTTTTCGGATCAATGCCGATGCCTTGGGAGGGCTCAGCTGCTCAAAACACTGGACGAAACAGTATAGCAAGCCACCAACATGGTGGTACAAGTCCCCGTCCCAGATGCGACGGCACAGCTTCTCGTACAATGCCTTGAACATCACAGTCGGAGAGAATTCTAGCAAAATTAGCAAAAGAACCAAGTTAGAGAAAGTGGACGTACGATGCATTCCCGGAGGATAAGCCTCCATCAGGAAAGCCGACGCTATCAGATGTTCGAAATCTCTCTTTGAACAACCGGTGGATATTGCATTCCGCGTTATTTCTTGCAGATAATCGCCCATCGTTTCACTCCTCGTCAAGTCCCTTCGGGCTGTTGCTAAAAGATCGCATGGCGCTGCGTCCAAGGTCCATTCGTGACTTTGCAAGCGGCTGCTGCAGAAAGTACCGAGATGAGATGCTGAGAACTTTTGGTGAGCTGACACTTGCTCCGCTTGAACTGTATTAAGCTGTTTCAGGATCCAGGCTTGCAGTGGCTCGAACGCCGTGATATCTGAGAGTCCGCTTCGTGGACCCAGATCGAGAATCGTGATTGTTCTAGTCTCAGTCAGCCTTTGAAGCTGTGCGCATTCTTGGGTGAAAGCTTTTGTTGCTTTTTGACTGTTGGTCATAACAATGGCTATCTGCGTGTGAGAAGGAATCGCTTCGCCACCAATGGTCAGCTGTTGACATGGTTGCTGTAACAATTCTTTTGCAGCTTGCACGTCTGACATGGAATCGAGAAATAAACACAGAATTTGGCTCCATGGCAATACAAAGTGTCTCTTGACTTCTTGCTGTAGCTTTGCAGGCAACATCGTAGCTTTGGCAGCCACCACCGAGAAGGCTCGATGTTTTGTCATTGAATGCTTGAGCCATTTTGAGTCGCCCATGCTTCGTTCAAGGCCAAGACTGCTTTCGGCAAATAATATGGGATTCTGTGTATGAGCGGTCGTGGTGCTGAGATGGAGACGGACTAATCCTGCGGGGCCTTTACGTGTGATGTTATTGTAGGGAAAGAGAGCCCGTAAGGCTTTCATGCGATTTGCGTTTCCGCAGAAGTACAGCAGGGACGGATATTGACATTTCGGATAGGGCAATCCCTGCACTAATTCTTCCAGGCGGTTGGTATCAACTAAATTCCATGCTTCGTTTTCTCTGACGAGATCGAGCCAGGCAGCCATTAGAAATGTTGGCTGATTCGAGAAAAACAGTCTCCTGTGGAGGTTATATAAGGACTACGACCTGTGACAAGCAGTGGTAAAAGAATAGTTCGATACTCAGATTGAAGCTGGCATCTTGTCCCGCCTCATAATTCGACCTGTACAAAACTGTCAAGCCCCACATTCCTTCTAGCTATAGATTTGTAGATACTCGTTGCCAAATCACGTACGCAGCAACTTAAAATTTATGAGCAGCCATTTGTTTTTGACTTGGAAATTAGACCACGTCAGCCTCAACGCATGTGAAAAGTGCGATTTTTCTCACTGTCAAAGCTGTCGATTGGCCGTAGTAAGCTTTCACTATGGACAATACAAAGCGCTCAAAGTCCCCGAACGGACTTGCCTTCTTCAGATTAAGTTTGTTCTTCATTTCAGTCATACTATCTGCTGCAGACAATCATACAAGAATGCTAGCTCCCATCAGATCGACAAAGAGTCCCGTTTTTGGATTGAAGCCTGCGCTGATTTCATCGGGTTCGGCTTCGCGTGGGAATTCCAGAGCTACGTAGAGCGAAAGCGATCCACACCGCCAACGAAACCAACTACGCCAGAATGCTCAGAGAAGAGGCACAAATGGACCTTCTTTTCAACATCACGGCTAGTGCGGCTAATTGGGCACTGCTGGCTGGCTATCTAGTCGTACCCGGCACGTTCACATCACTACAGACCTCGAGCCAGGTTGAAAAGACGTTGCAGAGCAACAAAGCCGGTCGTACCGCTCTACATATGATCCAGAACCCTCCGTTACTCGTTATTGCGTGCTTCCTTTTTGTTGGTGGAGCTGCAGCTCTCATCTGGCTTATGTATTTCCCAAAGCTTAGAGGAAATTACGTCTGGTTGAACAATCAAGTGTTTCTGTAAGTCGGCGAATTTACCGGAAAGGGCTGAAAAGCCAGATCCAAGTCTAACATTGAACTAGACCCCTGTGTCTGCATGCCGCTGCGGGGCTGCTGACCACCGTCATCAACGTTTGCACGTCTCAAGGTGGGAATTGGTCAGTAATGGCTATTATAACAACTTCTGTTACTGGAGCAACTCTAGTGATTTGTTCAGCACTTCTCGCGCTTTACAAGTTCTACAAATTAGAGCTACTCCGAAATGAGGACGAGTATATCCGGCGTGCCCGAGGCTCAGTCATGTCTGATACGTGAGATCAGAGCTTTTCGATCCCAAAAGGGCATTTCCAAAGGTTCACTGTGAGATTGAAATTTTTCTTCTCCATTTGTTTTCGTTCTGATTCTGCCCCTAATTTTTGTACCGCAGCAGATGTTCATTTTTAGAGTCAAGCAGCGAAACTTTATCTACTCTGAATCTGCAAGTGGATTGATATGTATCACCCAGTTGCTCTTTCGCTCATCGTCAAACAGTTTCTTTGGATTTCGAACTCCCACCCTCTATCTAGTTAGTACACTTGGTATCAAAAATATGAGTCTGAGAACGAATTGTATAAAGCATAACGTAACACAGGATCTGAACCTCATGATCGATAAGTTGAAGATCCGCTGAAAAAGTCTCTGTGATGCCACCATCTTTCAAGAGCAGAGCGCAATGATGTAAGGGTGGATGAAGCGTAGGCCAAACTAGTAGAAGTTACAGAAGGCCGAGGTATATGCGCGACCTGATACTGTACTGTTGGATCAATCGCAGACCCAGAAATTCAGATAGACGTCACAAATTGGAAACTGTTCATTTCGCGCCCTTCATTACAGTACCCAAGTTGGAAGGGAAATAATCATTGAATGAGCTCATGTGGTTAATATATGCTTGTCCGCCAATAATCTTCTGAACGTTGCCGCAAATGAAGTTTAGATCCGCACACACACACAAACAATTTGTTAACGCCCGGCGGCTGAACCGAAAGGGTAACTATCACTGATCTAAATGTACATACTTTAGCTAATGTTGTGCCTCCTTGGAGCCCATACAAGATTCCTTTCAGTGTATGTCAATTTGGCTGTCAATATCTTAGCGGTTCCTTGTGGGGTAGTGTTTAGTTAGTAGACTTTAGATACAGGATGATGTGTCTAATATTAGTCTCGCCTAACCAGCCACATTGAGATCAAGAACAATTGAGCATTAACAATATGGCTGGAATTTCTCACAGAGGCACTTTGAAAGGCATAATTGCAGGCCAATAAATTGATCGAGTTCTACAAACCTCTTCAATCCTCAAAACATTCCTAATCTTCCATCACCAATCCAAGCCCAAATAGATCCACTACAATTCCCGTGTCGTATTTCACGGTCAGCGTTGTACTCGTAGAGATCAGTCCGTCGTCCTCAGTGTTGTACTCAATCGCTTTGCTGTATTCGAGGAATTGTCGGCCATTTTCTAGGGATAGCTCCCCCTCCAACTTCAAACCTGAAGCTTCATCAAGCAACCGACTAGCGGCATAGTAATCCACACTCCATCCACGGAGTCTGAGGGTGTTAAGCTCATCGACCTGCCAGCGCCCTTTCAGGGGACCAAAGACAATTGTGTTCTTTGCATCTGAGGTAGAAGCAAAAGGGGAAGTAGAAACCCCTCAAGTCGATAAGACATATCTCATGGGTGGCATAGAAATAAAGCGTGCCATCACCGAGAGGCTTGATAGTGACGCTCTTTCCGTCTGTGAGTCTCCGATACGACGACCCAAAATCCTTCTATAGCATCTCATTAGCCGAAACAATAGGAATTGCCAAGAGTCTCCTCCATACATCCGTAGATTTATAGCAGGCCATCGTCAAAATGTTGTGCCAGAGAAAGGAGGAGACTGGAGATGATATGTATATAGTAGATCGTTTCTGCATGATGGGCTGAACAGCCAGCAGAGCATCTGTCTGCTTCATCACACTTTGGACATCGTCGAACTCTCCAAAAAAAAGTTGCAATAGATCAGGGCCATTGAAGGGCATTGAAACCGGAGCTAAGTGAGAAGCCATTGTGAAGTAAAAGTTCGAGTCACATACAACGGCTAGTCAAAGGCTCGGCTTTTCGAAAGACGCGAGAAAGTTCGATGCGAATCCAAGCAGAAAAGTGGGCATGCGGCTTTTTATGTTCGGGACGTCGGATGTCAGACTTACAGCAGCCGACATCCTTTCTTAGCTAGTAGCTCAGTCGCTTGGTGTGACTCCTGGAGACAACAGGATCCTAAGAGCAGAACAGGAGAACACAAAAGATTAACAGAAAACGCCGCTTGTATCGTATAATTCACACCTTATTCATACAAAAACTCTGAAGTTGACTGGACTACAGACTGTCATCCGAAGTCTGGCAGCCAAAGTAAGGAGATCTCCTATCTGTTTGCCTTTTATGCAGGCCCGACTTAGAATCCCCTAACGCCATACAAGAGTACTACAGAGTCCACTTTTGTACCATTATATAGGAATGTATTGGAATACTGCCAAGAAAAAGAGCCAGGGGCAGAGGAACTGTAATATGCATAGTATGTTTTAATAGAGACTTCGAGGAAATAATCTCTGTGTGCAAGTGGTGAAACTGATTTCGACCCATCCCGTAAGAGATAAGAATGCTAAGCGTTTTATAAATCGACTGGTGAATCTTGGTCCGTAGAACGCAGGCTTCATTTCACGTTTGAATGAGGGCTGACTCGACATTTAAGCCTGTATGCTATTCAGGAGAAGGGCTCGTACTCAGCGACTGACGTTTCAACCTCATAACAGCGTGTATCCTTTAAGCCCATTATTTTGAGGCCCTCAACGAGCTATAACGCGATCTGATGCCCAGGGAGTCTTTCGTAATTCATTAGAAAATCTAATGGCTTCAACGGTGGCCCAAGCAGTTCCTGTGGATATGGTCACCAGGTCCACGCGAAACACAGAACCGACAACATAAATATGAGCACAATCACCTTCTCAAGTCTCTCATCCTAAATTCAATATAACTCCTCTATCTTCTTTTCGATCACAAGAAACGGTACCTTTCTACCACTAGGCACAGGTGAGGAAGTTCTCTAGGTGATATTCCCCAACCCTGATAGCTAACATATGTTCTAGCTAGGGTGGCTTTGTCACTGAAAAGCTGAATCAAATTTACCGGGCGCAACTGTTACGTCGATTCAAGTCTAAACGGCCCCCGCAACCTTTTGTCTAGCATCACGAGTCCATATTAGTAAGTCACTGAAGGCCAATCGAATCGCTATGTTTCAAGGTTGACAAATTATAGTATCCAAAGTTAGCAAGCCAGGGACAAAATGCCGACTGCTCAAAGTACGCACACAAACGGGGAAGAATCGCTTGGAATAATGAATTTGTGCCCTTGACTTTGATAATTCCGACATTCACACTGCCAACTGCTAATACAGTGGGTGTTACATCAGTGTCTGACTTGCCTGGTCCTACACAGCTTGGACCTACGAGATCTGCCGAGGCCTCTGAAAATTTGGCATCTTCGGGGGCAATTCGAGGACTGGGCTTTTTTTATTTCTCTCTACTCATGGCAGTAGTCATTTGTGGAAATACATGATTATGTTAAATCTTTCATCAATCTGGGGGGTTGGCATATACTGGTGCAATTCATTGCGATGGTGCCTGATTTGAGACACTAAACATTCTTGACACACCTGAAAGATACATGCAATTTAAAACACCGCATTCTCTAGAATAACCAAACTCGTGTTCATCCTATCCGGAACCAACTGCATAGAATTTTCTTTGGCGATATTCAAACTTTCGAAGAACACCCACTCTACCGTAGGCAACAGACTCTTAGCAAACTCGGCTTTTTCTTCTTCCTCCTGGATTTGGAAATCGGGCGCAGCCTGCAACCGCAATGGCACTTTCACTTGCCATCTCACCTGCCCTGCTGTTCCGTCGTAGAATTGCACTTCAAAATCCATGCAAGGGTTGCTCCACGGCATTGAGGCAAGGTAGCTGCCACAGTATCTAACAAAATGTTTGATAGACCTGTATGTACGAGAATCTAACAGGAGCGGCTATGGAGGGGATGAGCCGATGTTGGAGTTCAAGAACATAGATGGGAAGTACCTGTGGATGACGACCGAGAAATGCCAGGGCACGATCTGTATCCTTGGCCCACACAAGTTCTTTGAAATTATTCAGCATATGCAATTGCGCTCTTTGCTGTGACACCAAATACGAAAGCTTGTCAACCTCGCCCGAGTAGGCAGCGACATTGGCCATCAAGCTCTGCTTCTGCTTGATTTGATCGCGATGTCTTTGTGATGCCTGAGCCTGATATTTCCGCTTACGAGCTGCGGCCGTGGAGCCAGAAAAGTCCCATTGACAAGGAATTCTTTTCGCATCAGCTACATTAGCGGAAGGGGATGTGTTCACTTCTTCAGGATCCGTGCTTCGAGTCACAATGGCTTCTTCAGTAGATCCTGGTGACACCACGTTCAATTGCTGCTGTGTGGCAGATTCTGGAGGCAGCAGTAGGTCTTTTATAGAGCTATCAAATATTAGAGGGAATTCGGTATTTTTTGGTATGAACTGACAGTGCTCGAGAGTTGAACCGGTTGGGTATCATTTTGCAGGAGTCAAATTGCTGCTGAGTGTATGAGATTAATGGCTCATTCAGAGCAAGAGAGCTATATTTATGCTGCAATTTGCAAGACATGCTACACACGACTAACATTCCACAGAGCTCTAGACAAGGGCCACGCATAGGCCAAGCTCATAAGGTACTCCTGGGAGTAGAGAAAGTCTGGTCTTCATCTCCAAATCTTTACTCAAGCCAGATTATGTATATAGGACTTGTATAACTTTATGGTCATGCCATGACAGACCGCGCAGATGATTACGAACATTGGTTACATAATATGATCACCGTATCTGAAAAAGTGATACTGTTATTCTCGCAATGATGCCGATGGAAATGAGCAAGTCACAAAACCCCAGTTCCGCATTAATCGTAGTATATATGGAACAATTCCTGAGACGGTGCTCGCGTTTTCAGAGTCCATCAATATACTAGTGCGATGGTCTAGCTTGATCTGATTGATCCCGCAAGCTTCTTGTTTCCGTTTCGAGTACTTACATATGATTACATTCACGGCTTGTAAGATACAGCGCAGGAATAATCCCAAATAAGCGTAGCCCTGCCCTTCCGGAAGAATTTTTGACAGAGTGCATGATATTTGATTGACAAGTAGTTTATTGCGAGCATCGAATGTCTCAAAAGATCATAATTGAGTCGTCAGAAGAAAAGAGATCAAAAATTAATAGCACCCTGTTTAATTGAGGTACATCACCTTTACTTTGCGGTGAAGTAATAACATGACATCGTGACCCAGATACTATGGGGAGGCTAAAGATCTATGCCGAAAGAAAGGTCTGTAGCTATAAAGCTCTTCTGCCCTCTAGCTTTGTCGCTGTATCGTTTCATACTTGCCAAATCCACAAAAAATGATGAAGAATCATAAGGACACCCACCGCCGAACCGTATGGGTTGATGAGTCTCTTCACCGTGAGCTGGCCTCAAACCCAATTTCTTTCACTGATTTGAAACCCTCGCAAACCCGGAAAGAAGCCATCGAAGGAGTCACCTCTTCATCAAGAAAACCACGCCTGGATTGCTCGGTCGCAAAGATTCCGCAACTCTATGCGAATCCATGGGATACTTTCGAACCAGTTGCCAGATTGCAAGATCAGTCATGGATCTTTGCTCGGCGTCGGACAAATAAAGGAGCAGTAGTGCATGTCCAACAGCTCCAACAAAAAATGCCTGATGCTACAGCTCTTCTGGGGAGTGATGGACCAAGTTGCCCATCCAAGTTTCCTCAAATTGCTCGAATGCTACCAATATGACGCGTCCTGTATGCTAATTTGGGAGCCAACCGAGGTGTCAGTTGATCAGATTTTAGCCTCCAGTTGCTTGATCACCGCGGATGAAATCCTTTCCATTGTGAAGCCGGTATGTCAGTCATATGAAATTCGCGACGAGCTCGAACTCACCTTTCACAGATACTGGAGGGAATTTTACATCTTCGTCGGCTTGGAAGAGCGCTCGCCACTCTGAGCCCGGGAACAGTTTTAGTCACACATTCTGGTGATGTAAAGATTGGTGAGATGTCCCCACATTTGGCGAGTATAGAGGGATTGAAACTAACGTTCCGTAGTGGGCGTCGAGAATAGCTGCAAAATCCATGAATCCGAAATGAATTCCGCAACGACCAAATTATGTGCTTTAGCTGATATTGTTAAAAAATTGATGCTGAAGAATTTAAACTACGAATGGGAACTCGAGATCCAAAACTTGCCATACCAGCTGGAGAATGTTCCCTTGGAGAAGCTCCTGCAGGTGAGAAAGATCACCCCGATACGCATCATGCTCTTGCCTAATATTTTTACCAGAATGAGATATTTAATCGAGAGTCATCCAAAGAGGAGCTAAAGCTACTGGTTAGTGTGACCAACAAGACCGCCTATCACGGTGTCCAGTCTTACTACGCTCGTTGAAGTAACTACGCATTGAATGCGGCTTGCCTTTTCGTTTTCTATCAGGTCGGGAAGCTGTCACAATGCGTTTCAATTTGGTTTGCCGAATAAGGAAGAATACGTGCAGTACTTTGACAGACAAGGTAGGTACATGCGGAGCGGGCTTGGGAACTGTTTTAAGCAGCTGTTCACACTGACTGCCAATGGCTCGCTCTCTTCATTCATTGTCCTTTCTTCGTCGATTCTTGAGTAAAATATATGTGCTTCAATATTATCAGTAAATGCATATTGCTTTAGTCGGACCTCATACTGTCAAATGAATGCCACATTTGCATTTCGCTCCATCTCATATAGGTGAAAGTCTTGTCGTATCTTAGCATCGCCAGTGTCAATAATACTGAGTGCTGTGGTAAATTTTATTATAATTGAACTAGCGAGATAAAAAGGCTTGTCGTAGATCCACTAGGAGCGCAGACTTCGTACTGGGTGTACAATCTGCATGGAGCCGAACGGATCTCGATGAAAATGGTTCACAATCATGCTGGATTACTCAACGTAGTGCCTGAACTGTTGAAGGACTATCTCAAGACTAATTTGTAAGTATTTCAGGGTTGCTTCAACCATAGAAAATTCCAAATGTCTGTGCAGCTTTACAACCCCAGGGTACAGATGTGAAACATTCTTCGGACCACTGAGCTTCTCTGAGTATATGCATCCATCTAGACAAACGGTGCATTGCAAACAAACTACTCCGTTCGCTCGAAATTCAACTTAACTATCAGACTCACCGGACTATACCGTTGGTGAACAATCTTGCTCAGATCAACGCTGCCAATGTACTACCATTGTCCTGAATTTCTTGTCACACAGGTATCAGACTGACTGGAGACGAACATTCATTTATCGAAACGCAGCCCCCATGCGACCTCTTTTTACCATCCTGCCTTTCTTTCCCATTCGGCCTTCTTTCCTATCCGGCCTCTTGATTACTTAACATCCTACTACTTGCCTTTCCTTCTCTTATACCGGCAGTCACGGTTAATATGAGCCTGCAGTCAAAGCTCAAAAGCAGAGTCGGACGCCCAGTTCACCAAAAATCCCGTAGGAGGAAAAAGACCCTTTTCAAAAAGGCGTCTGAGTACAGCTCGGAATGCGATGCCGACATCCATCTCATTATTCGAATGAGAAAATCGGGGAAGATATTCATCTTGACTTCCAATTCAAAACATTGGCCTCTTTCACAAGATCAGTTAGTAAGTTCCCGTCGTTATCCCTTTCATCTCTATGAAGGTATTGACCCGGCCAAGAACTCTCATCATCCTGCACCAGTTCAAAAAATGTTGAGTAACTCAGAATCCAAGGTGTAGGACTTTCTGCTTTTTTCAACAAATGTCAGTGACGATTATGGGGTGGACTGAAACAGGAAGGCGCCTTTTGGCGGCAGTCTTAGCTGCAAATAGTTTGAAATGAGCAAAAAGACATATTCTTTATAGCGTTGTACTATGCCGTAGTTTTGATAGTACTCTATATCGATCTGTAAGTCTTAATTCAATCTATCGCTGTGCCAAATTTAAATCCATGGGTTCACTTCACAAGCGTGGAACCACCATTCCCCTACCATAGCTCAACGAAGACACCATCCAACATGGTCTGAGGGGAACGCATCATAGTTAACCTGTCGCTAACAGACTGGCCTGGTAGTTGCGATCATACCTGTCCGTCACGGAATCCAAGCTCGCTGCTCCATCGTCGATGAGGTCACATTGACCTGGCATTCTTCGTTGTCGGAATGCTCAAACGTCAAACTTTGGGGAAAACTCAGATAAAGTCAATTCTAGCGCCGGCAAAGTTTCGGATGATCCAGCTTGATGTGTGTCTGTCTGACACTCGGAAGTACGCCGTGAGTACGACGTGTTTCCTGGGGGTGTCATACACTCGCTGGACGTCTCGCGTCGCGCTCCCTGCTTTCTTTGGAAGCATGTCGGGAATATGCGACGATCTGGTACCTCTCCCTGGGCTGCAGGCCGCAATTCCGTCGTCGATGCCGTAGCTGACTGCGGAAGAAGCTTATTAAACAGGTTCCGTCCACTCGATCGCCGCCGCTCCCCGGATTCACGCTGACAGGTACAGGAGCGAAGCAATGAAGTAAGACGGTTGAGTACAGAAAACTCCAACTTCAGCTTGATGCTGTATACCACCATCTTGAAGCTCACTTGAATGTAGTGAAGCTTGTATTCTGTGACGAGGAGCAGGACATTGAGAAACACGACAAGAATGTTGATCCAAAGTAAATGAATGATGGCACTGCGACTGTTCTGACCACGAATGGTGCTGATCTTCTTGAAAGTAAGAGCTGATTCGTATACATAAATGCTGCAGATGATGGAATCTTGCACACAAAAGGCCGTCAGCTGGATTCGGTCGAAGATTGCGGCAGGGCGAGCGAGACGTGCGTCGCCGTTGGTGAGGCCGAAGAAGAGAACGGTCATTGGAATGTGTAGGATGCAGGCGTTGATAATGATCATCCACAAAACGCAACGCCGCGTCCTCACGTTGGAGACAACAAAGTGCAGACGCGAGTACAGTACAATGGCTTGGCCGGTGACCATAGCATACCATCCGATCACGAAGGGGACTGACGTCGCGATGTTGGATGCTTGTGTTAGAAAGCGAGCCATGGCAGGAAGAGCATGCAGAACGATCCCCCAGGATGCGACCTGGATACTCCAGAAATACAGGCTGCGGTAGCCTTTGAACGCATCAAACGCGACGATTCCTGTTTCTAGACCATTGTACGCGCCGATTGAGAACATGGACACGATCTGGATGATTGAGATATTATCCATCAGGATGGTGCCCAATGTTGGGGGCAGGCTGGTTATGACTGTGTCCATGGTCTTCTCAGTGAACAAAGAGTATACTGTAGGAAATGTTATGGATGGGACCTGTGGCGGGCTTAAATAGCTTCATTTTGGACCCAGCATGTGAATATCCTTGCAATGAAATCATCACACTGTAGCAAGTCATATCCTGGAAAGTTCTAAAGATCTTAGAACCCGCACAGTATGTGTTATAACTCTACACCCCTGGGTACTTTGAATTGGATGGGTAGGTCCACAGCAAAGTTATCTACGCCGTAGCTCCAGGCATGATTGATCCTCGATCCTCGTCCAGTCGTTTTGATGGGAGAGTATTTGTTCCAGCCAGTACTATAATGGCAGGATCTCGCGCAGCTGGAACAAAGGTTCATTTCCATTCAAGTCATACCGAAGGTTAGTTTTATGACGACCGTGGAACGCAGAGCAGGATCCATGGTCAGTGGCGAATGTCAAATATCGTGACAAATTCTTTGAGTGAATCACGGAACGGTGCGTTCGGTGGTAGACAGCAATGATTCATGGAATTTAGGATTTAAGCTTCCTCCTAGTCAGATTGTCTCTCTTCTTCTGCTCCACTTTCCAGATCTATTATGAATATGGCTGCCACTACAGTCTAAATGGATTTACTGAAAAATATGAGCCACGCTTATTAAAAATTCTGCTATAATCACGTATTTTACGGTTGAAGGACCACAATTTTTTTTTTTGAAGATTGTTGGCCGCGCAACCACGCGTATAACGGAAGATAAGAAGGATGCTCAAAAAGTAAGCTTTCGGACCGTATGAAGTTCGGGCCCACAACGCCGGCTGGTGCCAGTTCTAAAGTCTATTGGTTCATCGGCTTTTACAACAAAACCCGGACTATATGTCTACATAGACGTTTCTGGTCCGTCTCGTATTAGCATAACCACATCTATGCTATATTAGTGCTACTGGATTAGCCAGGAAATTGGGGCCATGGTAGGAGAGGATCTACCCAGCAGTAAAGAATATACGTAATTGGAATGGCCGGTGCAAACAGAAATAAGTATTTCCTGGAATACTTGAGAGATCAGACAGACGACGGGGTGGAAGCTTGGCAATCGATAGATGACCGAAGGGTTCAAGGAAACTATGACCACATATTCTTTGGCATATACTTCCCTTCTGGAAACACCGCGTAATACTCCGAGTAGCTCATCTGCCCAAATCTTACCTACGGAGCAACAAAGGCCTTCACCCGCACGGAAGTAGCCCATCAATTGTGGGCCTGTGGATCGTGTCTGGACTTTTACAGGTCCTTCGAATTTCTTCAGAAAGCCACAGTTAGCATCTCCTTAATTTACTGTCCCATGGGTCATTCCCGGTATTTTTCTTTTCGAACTGTACCAGCATCCGTCCACATCCATGCCAATTGTTGATTGGTCCGTTGAGTGTTTCTTTTGTCCATGGTCTCCTCGGGAACATGATAATAGCGTTGCAATCTCCTGGACGGGTGGCGAGGGACAACGGGGCCAATCGTGAGCCGTGGTAGCTGGAATGGACTTTATGATTATTCTGTAGACCAGGGTTTGGTTATGTCGACGTTGGAACTGTGAAGAACTTCGACCCCCTTTGCAATAACACCATACATCAATCAGGGCCAAGGGACTAGATTGTTTTTATCAATCAGATGACGACATTAATGTGAAATTTCACACTTTAATGTGAAATTTCACGAGATAGATTCATCACACTATATCAAAGTGCAAAGAGAATCCAAGCCAGTATCAACACACCACTGATTGCATAGGGTAATGCGGGCCGGCCGATCACTTTCTCCACAATGGACTGGCAGCACTTTCTCTTGTCCCTTTCCTCTTCTCTCGTAATTTTAATTTCTATTTCTCACTTCGTGCTAGGATCCCGTGGGGTCCATTGTGCACAATAATCACTTGGCCTTTCTGCTCAGGGTCCAGATGCTGGCAAACAAAGTTTTCCCAAAGGGCACAGCGTTTTCATTTCGTTTCAGATCATTTGCTTTTGGTTCCACCAAGACCTTTAAAGAGTTTGTTCCCCATACTGTAGAAATTATGCGAACAATCATTTTCTTTAATCTCCCCGAATTTTGCTCGAAACAACGATAACTCCTCAACCACAAGGACTCATCATGACAAATGACTC